GATGGATCTGTCTACAAAACTCTGGAGTCAGGATACTGAAGTTAACATCAATCAGCTAAGTGACAAACGTTTTACTTATATATATATATATATATGATAACATGAAATAAAGAAAAATGTATATATATATGTGTAAATAAATTATATCTATAAAAATAACGTATGAACAGAAAATATATTAAATAATTGTCGGACTTCATTCATTTCATAATATGTTGTCATTGTTTACGTTAAGCAATAATGATCAATCGAGAAAAATCGTCGATGGTGTATGTTTATAAACAGTAATTCGGATGTTACTAAGCAGACGCATCTTTGTGATTGAATGGTTAACAGCACATCAGATCAAGTGATGTTTCCCATCAAGGGTTACAGGTTCGATTCCTGTCGGAGGAGCACACATTTTCTACGAAATATCTCGAACATTCAAACTGCTAAATGTAATTAATACTGTTTAATTAAAAAAACAGAGCATTTACTTCAATAAATTATATGTATAAAAAAAATCACGTATAAACAGAAAATATATTAAACATGTGTGCGTGTGTGTAAGATGTATAAAAATAGACATCGGTCTAAAAGTGGGAAATGAATGACAAAATAGAAAAAATACTAATACGCAAGGTGATTAACCTTCTGAAGGAACGTTTTCGTCTAATACTGTAATTCTCCATGTATAATACACCTTCATCCATAATACGCACCCCTAAAATTGTGCTGAAAATGTGGGAAAAGCTTCTACTCACCCCTTGTTTGATAATCAAACAATATAAATTGTACCCCTCCAATTTCATTATGACCAGCATTTCCTGCTCTTATCAAAAAATGGTTTATACATAGGATAATATTATTCTGATTTAGTTTTATGATAATTCTTATTTTACATTTGTAAGTATTGTCAGGTACATATAATTGTATTTTACATTCTTATGGGGTCGCAATCGCCGAATGTTGGTGTCAAATTATCGTATTTTAGTGGTAAGTAGTCATGCATAATACGCACCCCTAACTTTGCTTATTATTTTTTTTAGAAAAAATGCGTATTATACATGGGGAATTACGGTAATAGTTTTATCGATAGAAACATATATACAAAAAAAAATATATATTTTGAAGTCTAATTACAGCCAATTCTCGCTCAAATGATCTCAAATTTTAATAAAATATTTGAAAAAAGTTGAACGTTTAATTGTTCCTTTTTTTCAGATTGAAGAATGTCATTCACTCGAAATGAAAATAAAACATTATGTGTGTTAGAATATGTTCGAAAGAGTGTGCAATGCACCTTTTCAATTAAATCCAAGAAAAATCTACCAACCGGAGACCAAATTTGGACATAGCACAAATAAATTCAAAGAAGAAAGCTGTCGGTGCAGGGCACGACCCCCAGTATCGGATGATATCGTCAATCAGGTTCGGGAAACGTTTGTGTGAAGCCCCATAAAGTTTGGAAGAAGAGCATCTATGGAAACCGAAATTCCTCGTACGACACTTTGGCGTGTAATAAGGACAGCTTGAGAATAACACTCTATAAGCCGGAACACAGCTGACAGAGAAAAAATCTGTGTCACTATGCAAGAGAAACTTGAAGATAAGGAGTCCGAAAAGCGTCTTGTTTTCAGAGAGGAGGTCACAGTTCATACGAATATCAACGTCAACAAACATGATATTCGCATTTAGGGTGGTGGGTAG